TTATTTCAGTACTTAAACCTAGTCCCTGAAATCAATAGAGAACTATGGGTGATCAGGCTACCCCTAACCACCACCCCCAAAACAGTTTGTATTTATTATTATTGTTGGTCTGAAGTGGTTACTGAGGTTGTGAAGCTGATGACTTCTGCCATGGAGTCCTATTTTAAGACTTTCTCCAGGACAGCAGAAGATCATTTAACTTGATAGTTTCTCTGCATGTGATCTTTTAATCCAGAACCAGGCAAAGGATTTGACAGTCTTAGAAAATGTTAATTTGGAAACAGACTTACCTGCAAAAATTTCACAATAATGATAGTAAGCACCTCGTTCTGGGCCCTGCTTCTGCTTTTTAGAGTTTTTGGCCAGCCCAGATGGAGGCTGGCCTCTCTTGGAGGCATATGGACAAGGTCACCTCCTTGCTACCCCATGTCCATCCACACCTCCTGCCAAGGTCAAGTCCAGTGATTTCACCTTATTTCTACTTTCTCACTTCCGAATGATTAACTTGGCTTCCTCACCATTCTATTCCTTTCAAAGAGCTGAAATACCTTTCAGATGTAAAAGCCATTTTGGATACCTTATTTATGAAGTATATTTTTCCTCTATTCTAGTGTCCAGCATGATAAGTTATAAGAAACTGATTGGATGATTTTTTTTTCCACCTAAAAGAGATCTTTGCTACAGGGCATGTGCCCTCGCCAGAAACAAAAAGAGACAGAAAGTAAGAAACTGCCCCCTGGGGTGGACGGCCACACCACAGTCCCTTCACTTCCATTCTCCTCTAGGGATTTTAGGCATGCATGCTTACACAGCCGGCATGAGTTTTAAGCCGCCTGGTCTGGAACTCAAACCATAGTCAATAGTCAACTATGTGGGAGTCCAGTGATATAACCATTACGTCATCTGCTGGTCCCTGATTTGACAATTCTAACAAACACACTTTCATCACTGGGCATTCACTTTGTGCTATCTCACACCAATATTTCCAGACAGATGGCTGGGGAGAGCTCTCTGGTTTGCTCTCCAAACAACCCACATTCAATCTGCTTGATAGTTTACCTTTCTGTCAATTTCTCATCCAAAAAACTAGCAGACCCTCCTTCAAAAATTGCTATGCGCTTCCTCTTCTTGATTACTCTGTCTTTCCAAAAGGGGAGGGTATAAAATGATCTTTGGAGGTACAGAAAGAAAACATTTAAATTTCTAATCATGTTTACTTATCTTACTCTTTTATTTCTATTTTTGCAAATAGCTTATTAGCAAACAAGTGTGTGATTATAGTTTATAAATGTGCAAGTGCTGCAGGTGTGTGCAAAAAGTATTTGATTGATAGGATTACAATGTCAAAATGCTTAAAGACTACTGGGATAAACCATAATACTTACTCCTAAGACACTTTCTTGCTGCTCTATGGGCAATTACTACTAAAATCTTGTATTCTACTTGTTTATTTTAGAAAATATTTTGTACTCATGTAGTATTTAAATGGTAACATAACATTATTTGGCTGGGGGGGAGGTGTCATTGTTGTTGCTGTTGTTGTTGATTTTTAGTTTTTGTTATAGGGTGTGTACACTCTCCAAACAGAGAGAAAAAGTGATAAATTCCACAGGAATGATGGCCACACTGCAATCCCTTTCCCTCCACTCTCCTCTCAGGATTTGGGACACGCACAAACAAGCAGATGGCAGGATTCCCAAGCCACTAGGTCCAGGATTCTAACCACAAAGCTAGCCACATGGGTTCCAGCACTTTAACCTCCATGCCACCTGCTGGCCTAGTAACATAACATTCTCATTACTAAACACAGATCTCACTCTTGGCTTTCCTATTGTATCTTGTATTATATCTTCTTATTGAGGTCTTGAGATCTGCTCTTTTATTTATTTTTCAAAGTTTATTCTTCCTTTCATAAGAAAGAAAGGGGAAGTTAAGTAGAATAGTTACCCTGACAGTGTCTCACCACACCATGATCCTTCCCCTATCCTCCCAGCTAGCCAGAATCATGGGTACATGTTCAGGTAGACCTGGGATCTGAACGGGGATTCCACATGGCTCTGATACTGTGCAGCAGGATCCCACCTCTCTCCCTGTGGTTAGGCCCAGATCTACTCTTAAAGATTTCTTTATAGTTCTATTCAAGCATCTTTCAAAAAATAAATGACATTCAAGGAAAATTAAAAATAAACATATAGGGGACCAGCAGTTGGCATAATGGCTATGTCGCTGGACTCCCACGTAGTGGACCGCAGTTCAAGTCCCGGACCTGGTGGCTTAAACTCATGCTGGGCACGTGTGCATGAGTGCCCAGGATCCCAAGAGGAGAATGGAGGAGAAGGGATTGTGGCGTGGCCATCTCCCCTGGGGGTAATTTCTCATTTTCTGTCTCTGTCTCTGCCTGGCGAGCACATGCACACTATCGAGGGAAAAACTCTCCAAAAAAAAAAATATATATATAGACACAAACTTACAAAGTATAGATAGGTACTGTTCTAAGTCCCTTCTCATTTAGTCCTCATAACATTATTATAATTACAAAATTATACCACAGAGTTTTATTTTTAATAATATTAATTCTATAAATTAGTATCTATTAATAGATGGAAAACATTTACTTTCATAAAACTCCAGATACTTCTAAAACCATGGTCAATACTATTTTCAATGAGGAACTTCTGAAAGGAAATCATTATTCTGTGACTTCTGCGTTCTTCAATCTACCTATTGTTGAGGAATCCAGTTACTGACTCTGTCACCTTGGGCAGGCAATTTAACCTTCTGTGCCTCAGGATCCTTATCTGTATGTATTAAGTTCATTTATTGCAGCACCTAGGACATACCAGGAAACTGTTCCTGGTTAAAGAATACAGCAGTGAACAAAAGGTAAAATCCTGTTTTCAAGTAGACTATTAGGTAATTTGGAGGGGGAAGATTACCAATTATAATAATGCTAGCCATTATAATTTCCCAAAATGAAGGGCTACTTTAGTTACCATTACCTTGGTCCTACTTTTACTTTCAGGCAAATTCCACCTAGTTACGTTTCTTAGCTGATGAAAGGGGACAGTTAATGACCAATCAGCATTTGGCACCAGCAAGCACATACACCCTTTATCATTCCTTGAAAAGAACTGTTGCAGAGCTCTAGAGAGCCAGGCAGCTACTGGGGGTAAAGCACAATACGGGCAGGTCTGAGGTTCTGCAAACCGCTTTGACAGACAGCATCCCGTGGTGCTCTGGATCCTCCCAACCCTTTTCAGGGATGCTGATGAAGGTCTATTTACACCTGGAGGTCGCTGCTGACATACTGCTGCGCAGCTGACAGCTGCAAATTTCAACTGTGGTGCAACTCAATCCGGATGATGCTGCTTCCAGGCTGCCCTTCCAGGTTCAGCTACGAGACACCTTTTTATTTATTAAAAATTATTATGTAATCACAGACCGCACTCCCCACGGTCAATCACTGTTGCACGGAAAGCACAGCTCAGGCAGCCTACCTTTCAGCATAGAATTTAAAACCACCCGCTGGAGAATAATCTTGTGCAGCCGAAGTAAACCCATGAAGTGAAATGATAAAAGGAACTCTTGAAGAAAGCGCTTTCTTTATAAACAGCTCACAAACACTCACTAAATACAAATATCTGAGACTAGCCCACATTTCCACCCTAGGAGGTGGGGGTGGAGGGGTCATAAATACCAATGGCCACCAGTGAAGACTGGAGGTGCCCTAAGAGTTTTAGGTTACAACCTCAAAATCTTCATGAGGAACTAAGTAAAATCTATTTTCTAATAAGTGTATTTCATATCATTCTGCCAAAAGAAAAAAAAGAGAGAGAGAAAAGAAAACCTGAGGCAAAATGTTTGCAGTTCACCGTCTACAAACCCAGGTAGTTGGCCACGCTTTGACCTCACCATTGGCATTTGCTCTGTCAGCATTAGAAAAATATTCAGGCCTGCTCCTCCTGTTGTTGTGTACCTAAATTCAGTATCAGGTTGCCAACTTCAGACTCAACAGCAGGCAAGTTCCCCTTGGGCAGGCTGGCAGAAAAGAAAGAAATTCAGGAGAAAGAGGAGAAAAGGGGCACAGGCTGGGCCCATCGCCACACTCCATACTACCAGCTGATCCCACTGCAGGTCCTTATCTAGAAAGAATTTCCTGTTGACAAGGCTGTCTACAGATTGCACAAGCAACCCCCACACCAGACCTTAGGTTTCTCTGTCACCTCCACCCCCCCTTCTGAGCAAAATGACTGTTACTTGGACTTTCTGCCAGTTTTATCATGGTGCATGCCCAGTCTGGTCCCTTTCATATTATTTCTCATCCCTGGGGTTCCAATGCTCTCCCATCCCCCACCCCTCTCTCCTCATTCAGTATTTCCCTATTCCAAATCATCCCTTTTTCCTACCCCCTCCCCACACTATCTAGAATCATCTTCCCATCATTCCCTAGGAGTTACAGGCAAGGACTCTGGAGCTGGGGAATCTGGTAGTACCCAGCCTCCACCATTTTCTGATACAAGACCCTGAGCTGGTTGCCCAATCACTTTAAACCTGAGATTCCTCCTCCGCACAGCAGGGCTTACCTCATTTCTAAAGTGAGGATTAAATAAAAACACACGTAAAGCACTTAGCAAAATCCCCAGCATACATTCAAATATTTAATAAGTGCACCAGGAAAAGATTTTGTAAATGGTAGCAATTATTATTCTCTTTCACTTTTTTATTTTTTACATTCACATTGTTCTGCAACCATCACGACCACCCATCATTTTTCACCTTCTCCAACTGAAACTCTGTACACATTAAACACTAACTCCCCTCCTCTACTTCTGAAAGGTCCTCCATCCACCAGGAGGCACTGCTCCAGTGTGGCTCTGGACAGTCAGGGAGACAGACACCCTCCAGCCCTTTTATCTTCCAGTCGCATGTAAAATTTCATCCTTTGAGGCTCTCACTATCAGTCATACCACCCTCTACCCCAATTCTCAGCTGTCACCTACCTATTTTTGGTAACTTGTCATTCACTGATAAAAGGGAGTAGGGGTCTTGTTCACAATTTTCTCTTCTGCCCTTTTTCCTAAGAGATGTTCTTGTCCAACAGCTCCTAAAGAAACAAGAGCACAGGGGAAAATCCAGATTAGAACCACAACTCTAGCACTTTAAGTTTATTATTTTTTTCCATGAATGATGAAGAAACAGATGAGACAGAGAGAAGCGGAAAACCAAAGAGAGAGACTTGAGAGAAATAGGCAGCACACCCAACAGGGTTTCAATGCCACAATATACCCCCAGCTAGCCCTGAATTATGGTATATGCAAGACCAGTATACTCAGGAAGCCCACCGGACACAAACCCAGAACCCTGCCACATCAGTCAGGCTCAAGGTGCTGCATTTTACTGTTGTGCCACCATCCAGCCTCACCATCATTTATTAACGTTAGCAATTACTTCATCTCTCTGGGCCTCAGTTGCCCCATCCATAAGTGAAGGTGCTAATGGTACCTATTTGTGAATGAACAGTCGAATACATGGTCAATAAGTGATGGCAAATATCGTCACTGTTAGTGCACTTAGCTCTAATCATTGGCTCTGGACTGTAGCCATGGCCACACCTCATGGCTAGAAAACATAATTCACTGATCTTGCTGGATGACCACAACCTCCTATCCTTCCAGCTTTCATGCTCCTCACGCCCAAGGTCCCTGTTCTTTAGTGTCCCTTGATCGTGTCCCTGTCTTCACTTCCTCACAGCATGGACGCCACCACTGACCACCCAGCTCAGTGCCTTGACAGCACCCTCAATTCTCTGCAACACTCCTCTATGACCACACCCAAGGGAATCAATACCACAACCCAGTCCAAAAGTCCACTGAGAAAAGTCACACCAGATGCAAGATGCCACTACTGGAATTTCCTGACCCAGAAGAGCCTTCGGTGTCCTTAAACAGTCTCCTTCCTGTCTCCCTGAACCACTGTTTCAAATTTCTATTATTCTCCTCCATCCTGCTCTAGCAAATACCCTTCCTTCCCACTTCTCCCAGAAAACCAAAGCCAATAGGCTAGATGATCCTGCCCCAATCTCATCTTCCAGCTTAGCCACAGGCACCTCCTCTAGCCTTTTCTCTTCACTCCCATTCCAAACCAACCCTCCCCCGGTCTCTCTAATAGCTCCTTAATGCATTCCACACTCCATCTACACTCAGCCACACACACTACATAATATACTGCACCATTTACCTTCTTCCCCTCCTCAGCCCATGGTGCCCTCCCCAACCCCCGTCCAACTCCCACACCTCACTGAATGTACTCCCTAGAGATGGAGCTCAAAAATCACCTCCTCCTGGAAGTCTCCCCTCATCCTCCTCCTCCTGCTTCTCTAATACACTAATTCCCTTTCTGTTTCCTCAGACTGTCTCTCCCTGAGAAACAGAAGCTGTATCAGCCATTGTGAATTCTCAGTGCCTGGCACACCGATGTGCCAATAACTGTTGAATAAATAAAAGGATGAGTACAACGGACCCTGCTTTCTGCTCTGAAATGTTTTATTAAAATGTTTTATTACAAACATCACCAATTAAGATTCATGATCAGCCACTTACGTACGATGCCATCCATTTTCTTCCTCTGATCTAGAATGAGAAAGATCCCCTCCCTTTGCCTTTCCAGAACAAATCTCTCTTTGATGGAAGAAAAACACACACAGAGAGAGAAACAAAAACACCACATCTTCCTGAACAAAAACAGAAAACCCAAAATAGCAAGATGATCTATGAAAAACATCCAGCTGACACTGGCTTAGGTAGGGATAGATGCAGTTGGCTGAGCTTAAGAGGAGAAAGGGAAGTTAACTTTGGATGCCTATATGGGGTATGCAATAATATTCATGTGGTAAAGAGAAAGTTGACCAAAATAACAAATCTCATAAGGCAAGGGAAGAAGAGGAAACAGGTAACTGAGTGGAAATTTCCTTCCTTTGTCTCATCTGACTTCTGGTATGGCTACCACACTAATTTCTCAATCCTAACTTAGGACAATTTAATTTATAGGAAGTAATTTTGAAGGCCCTGGGGAGCTGCAGATGGTACCTCAGGGCCCATCTGTTTAAGGATGAAAGCTTAGCGCACACCATTACATCACTCTGACCTTCCTCAGCAACTTCCTATCTGACAAAATCTAGATGTTTGCTCTGTCAACAAGATGTCTGTTTGTCCCCAGCCTCAGGCTTTAGTTCCTGATTTGTTTTAAAACCATTATGCTTCCAAGCTGAATAGGGCTCCTGTTAGCAGCTGTAAGGTCCTCTTCTGGGCACATCCCCAAGTCTGTGGCCTTCAGGGAGTGATTTCTGTCCTTTCTGCATAATTGCACACCCTCCTGATTGATGAGCTGATCAGTTCTCCCAGCCCTTTCCAGAGCTAAAAAGCCTCTCTCCTCCTGCTCTATTTATTTTCCCAGGGGACCTGAGGAGAGGAAAGAATGGTGTGGTGAGGTAGGCCACAGCCGTGCCCACGTAAATGTTCAGGCAGTATGTATGACGGCCTTGGCAGCTCTGAACCAGACCATCGCCACCCGTTCGGCCATCCTTAAAGTGGCCCATGACCAGAAAAACAGCTGTTACTCCCTGGATGCTCACAGACCCCACAAAGCCCAGTGTCCACAAGCACAGACCTACGTCAGTTAGCCCATCACCTGGTCACACACATCTGTGATCACCCTGGAACCTGCCTAAGTTATGTCCTCTCCAACTTTTCATCAACCTCTAAGTTCAACCGGACACTACCACAGTCAGAGTGTCAGCTGGGAAGAGCCTGGTGATGCTAGACAACAACCTTTGCACAAAATGCATATTTTAAACACGTGGGGGGTTTGAGTGGGGTGGGGAAGGTCCACGTGCACTCAAATTGGTGATTTATTTTGAAATACTTTCTTTTAATTTATTTATTCATTCGTTTGTTTTAATTTGACCAGAGAGAGAGAAAGTGAGAAAGCAAAAGCCACTAGGTCCAGGACTTAACTGTGGTCAGCCATGTGGGAGTGTCTAATCACCATGCCACCTATTCCCTTGAAGTACCTTTTAAAATAAGACGGATTGATGGGCAGATATGCAGTAAGGCAAAGATCACACAATCATAATTGTAGAATCCAGGTGGTGGGCATGTGGGTATTTGGTGTGCATTTGTTTCATTTTTTTTACGCTTAAATGTGGGTGGGGAGTAATTTTAGCACCTTTTTTTTTTTTTAACAAACTAACAAAGCTTCATACCACAGCTGGTTTCACCCATCTTTCCACTAATGTCCTTTCTCTGTCCCAGGATCCAAACCCTTTGTAATGACACCTTGTATCTCTCGTTCTCCTCTGGTCTGTTAGTTTTATTTAGTCTTGCCCGGATTTAAAGACTGACAGTCTTGAGAAGTCTCGGTGAGGTATTTTACAGGACTCTCACCTGCACTTTGTCTCATGTTTTTCTTATAGTTAGACAGGGTTCTGAGGACTAAGACCACAGTGTAAAGTGTCCCATCATCAAGAGTAGGTGCTATCGCGCCGGCAGGTGGCATGGTGGTTAGGGGCACTTGACTCCCACATGGCTGACTACGGGTTAAGTCCGGGACCTGGCAGCTCTCTCTCTCTCTCTCCTCTCTCCCCCTTTCCTGCTCTCTCTCTCCCTTTCTCCCTCTCTGATCAAATAAAAAGAAATAAATAAAATTAAAATAACCCAAAAAATTATTGAAAAAAAAAAAAAGAGTAGATGCTATCGATATGACTTACTACTGGAAAGGTTAACTTTGATTACTTGGTTAAGGGCCTGTTTGCGAAGGTTTTCTGCTGTGAGCTTACTCCTTCTCTCTTTTCTATACTCTATCCTTTAGAAATCAACCACTATATTTGGTTCATACTCAAGGGGTGGGGAGAGTAAGCCCCAGCTCCTGAAGAAGAGCTACATAAAATACTTGAAATTCAGGCCAGCTCCATAGTGTACTGGTTAAGGGATCTAGGATCTCAGCTCTGGAGGCTTGAGAAACATGCTGGGCATGTGAGTGCATGCACGCCAAAACTCTCAATGGGAGGAAGAAATGGAGGAGAAGGGATTACAACATGGACATGCCCCACTGGGGGAGGGGGATGCTTTCTCCCATCTGTCTGTCTGTGGCAAGTGGCAGACACCCTCTGGCAATTAGGTTAAAAAAATTAAAATATTTTAAATTCTTCTATAAGGAAATGTTAGAAATAACAGTATGAATTTATGTGTATTTATTTATATTTTGGATACTAACACAGCACCACAGATTATTTTTGATGCTGTTACTCAAATTATTCTAGCTTTGGCTAATTTTGGGTAATTATCAGGAGCTCTCTGAGGTTTGCTCCTACATCCTTTGACATGCACCCACAGCCAAACCAGGCAGGAAACACACACCTTTGTTTTTTCAGTTCTTCCTTAATTTCTGGCAATGCAAGATGCTCCAAACCTATAATTATCTGGTAACTATATTGAAAAATCAGACTTGGTAGCCAAGATCTGGTGTCTTGCTGTTACTGGAGTGTCCCTGGTCCTCAGTCCTCCATGGGTAGATCGAGGAAATACATGTATAGATACGAACTCACATATACACACTTGCCTAGAATCATTTTTGTATCTATATTTAGCCAAATCCATGTTCACACTGCTCTCTCTGACTGCAGCGCCACAGGGCTCCTTCTGGCCTTCCCCCTGACTCCCCTGACTTCCCTCTGACTGTGGGAAGCCTGGCTCTCATCATCCCATCCTTTAACCATTTGTTTAACCTCTGTACATAGGGAAGGCAGTTTCAGAAATGTTAATCTGTCTTCCATGAGAGACTTGACCAAATAGAATGCAGCATCTGTATAGTTTCTTTAGTCTTCAGACTTCCAGTTTTGGTCAAAATACACTTTCCAGAGTTACCTGGGCCCACACTCTTTTGTCCTCACTGTCTCCCGTGGCTGTATCATACACCCGTAACACAGGTACGAGTCCTCTGTTACAGTCTGCGACTCAGGGAAAATCCCCACACCCACCCCACAGGCACAAACAACTACTGGTTGGCTTTTGGTTCGTTTTTGTTTTTGTTTTCCATCTGTACACATTA